TACTTGCCTTTTATTGATGAAAAGTAAAAAGATTCATCAAAACAAAATGTACAGTAAACAATTGAAACAACATGGTACTAGTATCTGGTTTGACCTTTGTCCACAGTACCCATCATGCAATCAACATAATAATAAGAATTGTTGATTGCATCTTTAGAAATATACATTTCTTTCAGTATATAGCAATAGAAATATTAATCAATACAGAAAAATAAAATAAAATATAACAAGTTAGTAAGAATTTTAAAAAGTAAATAAAATATAATAAGTTCAAATCACATGTTTTTTGTGCGTTGTTGGAATGCCATGAAGATAAATTGTGCAACGTGCTTAATTGAGGTTTTGTCTGTTATTGTCATTATACATTGAAATTTTTCATTATTAGTTTTGATTTCTTTTGGGAATATTATATGTGAGAACAAATCTTGCCGTAATGTCATGTATTTTGGACAAACTATTAGTAAATGTTCTTCATCTTCTACATTATGCGAATCACAATGTAGACAAATTCTATCTTGTAATGTTGTTTTGGGGTGTGTGTACATTTACAGAATATTACTATTTTGTTTTAAATAAACAAATTTGTCCTACAAGTACAAATGAATGACGTTTCTGGTTATTTCTATTCATACTTTTCTGCCATGCTGTCAGTACTTGCCTAAACAGATGACTACCAGCTTATATAACTTATAGCCCAGCAGACTATAATCAAAATGTTGTTAACTTCGAGTCGATGTAAGTTTATGATCGCCATTTTGTTCTACAAGACACTGTGGTTAGTTGGCTATAACAATCATCTATTTATAGAAACTCCTACAGTGTATAAGAATGTGTACGTACAATACATACCTTTATCGAATATTAACAATATTGTCATTCCATTCAAAGTAGGTATATAATTCGTTATCACTTGAATCAAGCCAAAAAAGGCCGACACATAACGGTTGCAGTCACTGACGAATAAGCGCTAATCGAGACCGTTTTACGCGTTGACCTTAGAAGGGCGCCACAAGAGGGCGAGCTATGCGGCACGTTTTTCGAGTCAAATCAAACACTAAAAAAAAAACATTTCTTGCTAAAATCACAGACATTAAAAAACTAAACACGAGTAAGAAACAAAAGCGAACCATTTACAAATAATAATAATGATAATAACACTTTATTAAAGAAATTACAATCTTCTTAGGCTCTGAATAATAAAGTTAAAGCGGGAGGGGGGGGGGGGGGGTCGTCACCTGCA